GCCTTTTTGCCTCCAGAAGCTTTCATATGCTGGGCATAATTCCTATTTTCACAGGGAAGGTGTCTTTTGACCACCTCAACCCAAAATGGACCATCACCGAATTATGCCCAGCAATAAAAAGTTTCCAGGTTCAAAAAAGCGTTCAAAATTGGCCATTGCGCCTCCAGAATCTTTCCTATGCTGGGCATAATTCCTATTTTTACAGGGAAGGTGTCTTTTGACCCCCTCAACCCAAAACGGACCATTTCAGAATTATGCCCAGCAAAAGAAAATTTCCTGGTTCAAAAAAGCGTTCAAAATTGGCCATTTCGCCTCTAGAATCTTTCCTATGCTGAGCATAATTCCTATTTTCACAGGGAAGGTGTCTTTTGACCACCTCAACCCAAAATGGACCATCTTCGAATTATGCCTAGCAATAGAAAGTTGCCAGGTTCAAAAAAGCGTTCAAAATTAGCCATTTTGCGTCCAGGATTCTTACTATGCTGGGCATAATTCCCTTTTTCACAGGTAGGGTGTCTTTTGACCCCCTTAACCCAAAACGGACCATTTCCAAATTATGCCCAGCAATAGAAAATTTACTGTTTCAAAAAAGCGTCCAAAATTGGCCATTTCGCCTCTAGAATCTTTCCTATGCTGGGCATTATTCCTATTTTCACAGGTAGGGTGTCTTTTGACCCCCTTAACCCAAAAAGGATCATATCCCAATTATGCCCAGCAATAGAAAATTTACTGATTTAAAAAAGCGTTCAAAATTGGCCTTTTTGCCTCCAGAAGCCTTCATATGCTGGACATAATTCCTATTTTCACAGGGAAGGTGTCTTTTGACCACCTCAACCCAAAATGGACCATCTCCGCATAATGCCCAGCAATAAAAAATTTCCAGGTTCAAAATAGCGTTCAAAATTAGCCATTTTGCCTCCAGGATTTATCCTAAGCTGGGCATAATTCCTATTTTCACAGGTAGGGTGTCATTTGACCCCCTTAACCTAAAACGGACCATTTCCGAGTTATGCCCAGCAATAGAAAGTTTACAGGTTCAAAAAAGCGTTCAAAATTAGCTATTTTGCGTCCAGGATTTTTCCTATGCTGGGCATAATTCCTACTTTTACAGGGAAGGTGTCTTTTGAACCCCCAACCCAAAACGGACCATTTCCGAATTATGCCCAGCAATAAAAAAATTCCTGGTTCAAAAAAGCGTTCAAAATTAGCCATTTT